CTGTCTGTTACAGTCTACAGTCATGGAGAGAAAAAAGGTATTATTGATTTTACTTCGTACTTCTCAATTTCTGATCTCACTCTACATTGAGGATTTTGCTACTGTTAGAGGAAATAAGAGGTAAAATATAAAGTTTTATAAAAAAAAACAACTTCATATTCATTTGGAGGTTCTGGAAGTTATTGAAATCAAATATGAAACTAAAATGTAAAGAAGTACATTTATTTTTAACATGAAAGTCACCTTTCACTCAGAATGACTCTGAAAAGACTTTGTAAATTCACAGAGAAATCTTTAGTAAGAATACTTTGTTAAAAAATATTTTTTGTGTGTGTACAACATAATTGTAATGTTTACTACAAGCTGACTAAATTTCGTGAAGATACACTTAGTACATTCAAGGTTATAAGATGTTTAGTTTAATCGTTACTAAGTGGTTACAAGTTTGTTTAAAATGATCAAGATCATATACATAGAGTTAACTATTTACAAGTATGTAGCTTTTTCCATGCCAGTTAATATTAAAACTTAAAAATCATATTTTTGATGCTCTTTACCATTTGCTACAACACTGAATTAATTTGTAATGCTTAATAATTATTTTTCATAATAATTATGTACATTTGTTTGCAAATGTATTTCTAATATATATATATATTTTTTAATGGAAATTGTTTAATTGTTTTTCTCTGCAGATAGAAAGATTGGATTTTGAAAAAGCTATGACCAAAATTGTGCCTGCAACTCAACGTTCATCTCCGTCCCCTGCCAGATCATTGAAACTGTCTCTTAGGCCTTTATTACAACGCTTGCTGGAAAAAGGAATCAAATCACTTAAAGTTGTCTTCCCTGCTGGACTTGGAAAAGCTCTTTCACCTTCTAATTCAAGTAAGTATTAACTAAAAAAAATGTCAGTTGAGTTGTTTTTATATCACAGAAATTTAATATTGGTTATAATCATTAAGAAAATAATATTTTTGTGGACCAAAACATCCAAGGAATATTAAAGGTAACAAAGATAAATTTTTGCCTTTAAAAGTTTTATACATATATAATAAAATAATAATGTTAAGTCTTTCATAATAAATATAAAAATAATTAATAATTAGTTGATAGATTTGTACGTTTAATATGATTTACAAATTTGTAATTGTCACCATATTCTGTACATTTATTATGTATTTAAGCCTAAAGGTTCTAATTATTATAATCAATTTATTTACACTTCAGATTTCTACAGTACAGTCAGTATTTAATTTATTAAAAATCTAATTTTATAAAACTGCTCTTATTCTACTGTTGTGATTATTGTGTATATATATTGTGTTTTTCTTGACACTTTCTTCAGTCTTGGATATAGCTTTAACACTGTTTATATTCTTCAGCACTAATATTGCTAGTAAATGATTCTCATTACACATGGACCTACAAATTTTGCTAAATTTCTGTGAAACGTGAGGAGTCGTGCAGGGTTGGGACTTAAAAATTAATTTTGCCTGAATTCCTGTTGGACAACATTAAGAAACATGCATTAGGTATATCTAGGTGTTGTGAAATTTCACCAAATATGGAAATTTCAACTGAATTGAGCAAATATTTCTATAAAATGTAGTATTGTGTGATATGCAGAAATTAAGGTACTTTGTGTGTAAACTTGACTTCCTGATAGGCCTTTTAATATTGCTTTTTATTACTATTTAATTTTGTGTAGTTTTTAGAATGTTCAAAAGTTCTTAACATGTACTTAGTATGTATGTATGTGACTTTAAAGTGGGACTATCCATGAAGCTGATATCCCACGGAAACAATTAAGACAGGATATGGTACAACTGAAAGCATTTGAGCAAGACTCTTTTTTTCCTATATTTAAACTACTTACAGTGAAATATTCTTGTTTTACCAACCCACACACATATGTGTGCATATATATATACCTTTTAGTTTTGTTTTTCTTAGTTTGTAAACACTGAAGTATCCTGCTCATTTAACTGTAATTTCTTCCTCTCTATAATTTCTTTTGGCATTAGATAAGATCATTTTACTACTTTGTTTTGCTAGTAATGCATAGTATGAAAAATATTTTGCCATATATTCGTACTTTAAATCCCATAATTTATTTATTCATTATTTACTTCCCCTTCAGAAGTTGGAATATTTTTGTTTATTGTGTCTAATGATATAACATGGTCACTTGATCTGACCATAGTCTCAATTTGAATACAATATGCATTCTGTTTTAAAACTTTCACCATTATAATAGTAATCTGTAGAAAATTTATTTTTTGTCAGAAGTTGTGTAATTTTAATGTACAAATTACATTTACTTTTTACCTGAAGTATGTGTGTTCTTGGTGAGTTTTAGTTTGCCAAATAAAATACTGCAATTTATCCTTATTTCTAATTCAAATTTGAAGAAGTTTAAACCTAAATATCTTTTCAAACACCATGCCATTGCATATCAATAAAGAAAATAATAATATATTTAATCATTATTGAAACACTTAGTTTTCTTTTTGCTTTATTTGTTTATTAAAGTTCAAATTAAATCTAGATTTCCACTTATACATCTAAAATAAATAGTCATTACATAGTCTTTGTTTTATATGGCAGCTACAAAAAAGAAAAGTGAAATCGTATTGTCAGAAGAGGATGAAAGTACATATTCTGATGATGAAGAGTTACTAACCCAAGAAGAAGTATCTTCAGTACCCACTGACTTAGAAAAGAGGATTGCTAGGTGAGATACTAATCATCTTCTTTGACTTTTTTTCATGTAGATATCGTGTAGAGTATGTATTTATTGCAACTAAACATGCATAGAACTTCACTCCCCTTTTTCATCAAAATGTTAAATGTAAAATCTCACATTTAGTTTTCAGGGTTGTTTTCTGTAATTTACAAAAACTTTTATTTTGGTTGTAGTAGTAGTTATGTTTACAACTTTCTTTAACGGTTTATAACAGTGACTGGATAGAAAAAAAAGAAAGAAATTGAAGTAACAAATGTACAAACAACCATACACATAATCTACATTTTTGTCCATTATTGAGGAGAAACTTCTACTTAACTCTATTGGTCATTGTACTTGTACCAGTAAAGTTAAATGTTGTATTACAACACCACTTAGAGAAACTTATGAATGTTTCTAAGCATATTTCAGTTTGTTTTTTGTGCTAGATGTAAAATAATGTCCTTTATGCTTGATACAATGCTTTTAGAATTAATTTTCATAATAAATATTGAAACAAATTTCTATTGTCAGTATGAACTAAAGTTCAGAGTTAAGATGATTTAAATAAATTTCCTTATTGTCTTTTAGAACTTGTAATACGAGAAGAAAGCGTTATGGAATGGCATGCTTCTATACTTTGTAATCATTCTAGAGGCTGAGAAATAATATTCTTCAAATCCACGCTTTGAGTACACTGTACACTCTTTTTCATGAAGTGGTCCATATGTGTGGTTTGTTGTGTGGTACTACATTAACAAAATTATGGTTTTTTAAACTCTTGGAAGGAATGTAATGGTATAAATGCTGAAACTGTGTAGATAGATTTTGGCATTTTATGTCGCGTGAAATCGGTGCAAGTTTTGGTGTGTGAGATTTGTCACAACAGTTGTCCCTCAGATTTATGGAGACAAGCTTTATGGTGTATGCCATTCATTATCTATTGTCTGCTACTTCAATAGTGTTATAGCATGTGTATTTGAATATTGTATTTCTTTTCATAATTAAATGCTCAGTGCTGGCTTGAAGTAACATGTTAGTATTAGTTACAAGTACAACTCCCAAATAACGTATGCTTGTATGATTTCAAGTTGACTCGTAAGTTTACCAACAGTAGGTAAACTCAGATTGTGGCAGTTTTGGTTGTTTATGAAACAATTACCTGTTCAAATGGACAAAATAAAATAATAAAAGAAATTCCTAATTTATTGAATATTAAACATTTTAAACTGTTTATATATATATATATATATATATTAGCGAGCTCCCCAGTAGCACAGCAGTATGTCTGCAGACTTACAATGCTAGAAACCGGGTTTCCATACCCGTGATGGGCAGACCACTGATAGCCCATAATGTAGCTTTGTGCTTAACTTCAAACAAACAAATATCAAAGTGAGCAATAAAAGGATGAAAAAGAGGTTGTGTTTACTGGTATATTTCTTAAACTTGAGAAGTTTTATTATTGTATTCCAGGGATTTTTGTACAGACCCAAGATTACGTATGATACTATTTTAAAAAACAAGATGTAAAAGAGCTTAGAAATACAGTGAAGTAAAATTAAGAAATCTAGGAGGTACAAACACATTTTTTAATTTACATGAAGAATATTTTTTTCTAGAAAGTATCAAATTAAAAAAAACAAAAAAAGTAACAAATATCAAACCTTAATATTTTTTAAAGTAGTCTGTGACTATTAGAAAATTTGTGTTAAGTTTCATGCTAAAAGACTTAACAATATTAGAGAAACATCACTTTTTGTAAGGTGTTGTAAAATCCACTTACCTGTGACCAAAGTTAAGGAGACGTGCTTTGTGTCTCCGCATGGTCTAGTCTTAGTTCAATTAAAAGAAGTTAAGGCTCTCGAGCTATCCTGTATTTGAATTACTCGGGAAACAGGGTTGTAGCTATGGTAAGCAGGGCTTTCCAGTACTCATTCTGCCTACCCAGCACTCCTGCGCAATGTGACTCGTTCCACCTGGCACTAAATATCACCAAGAAAAAGTTCACCATTAAGCATGAAAACTTTTGTCGGTGTTACGGTACAGTTGACTTCTTAGAAACAAAAAGTCATAAAGCAAATAGTCTTTGTGCTCAAATACTTTTCAAGAAAGTCTACAGGGAAAAAACCTGCATGCTAAAGTGAATAAACTGCCCATGCCATGCTAATTCACTTGCCACATCAGACAATATCATCCACAGTGGATACCATAAAAAGCCTATTTGCTTTCCAATAAAAGTATGTGGTGTGTGTAAAAATATTTTCAAAATTTTACAAATATTTAAAATATTGAAGTATATTGGTATTTTTTTAATCTTATTGTGACCAATTTGTATCAATTATCTGCTATTAAAGATAGATCAGTCAAAAGAATAAAACTCGGCCTAGAGTAAAAGTTGTCTCTGCCTTTATTTTTTTAGACTCGTTGTTCACCTTATAACGTATTTGCCTAATGACTGCTTGTGTAGAGTGTTATATCTGACTTTCCGAAAGGAATACAGCCACAGGCACATGCATCTATGGACTAGACTGGTTTTTACCACTCATCACTCAAATCATCCTAGCTACAACCCTGCCAGGATACTACAAGCACTGTGCGTGTGTGACAAGAAGGGAATATATGCTACTTCAAAACTTGCCCTGCACACCCACAGTTAAGAAAAAGTAAAATTTTATATCCACCAGTTATTTTTCTAGAGAGCACTTATTCTCCGTTTAAACTTTTTAAAGATGCCAACCTTTACGTTATTGGTGGCAACTCATTCCACCAGCTAATCATCTTGTTAAAGCCTAGCTTGACTTTTCCCAGATCTTAAACTTAAATACAACACAAATAATTCAAATGGCTTAGTTCTATCAATCTCACAAATAAGCTTGTAACCATTAATTAGAGTACCACATACCCTTCTTTTATCAAGAGAAAATATATTGAGATCTTCATCCATTCCCATAGGATAACTTTCCATCCCCAGAGGCATCATAGTAGTTCTCCTCTGAACTCTTTCCAATAAGTCATTATCCTTTCCTAGATAAGGAGATCAAAAATATATAGATATAAAATTATATATATAAATCACAAATATCTGTGTGTCTGTCCATTATCTAACTTCTTCTAGGTCACTGGGCCAATCTCAACCAAACTTTGTGGGATGATAGTATGGAACAAGGGGCATGTTTATGGAGGTTTCACAACCCCCTTCACCCCAATTATTGATGTTATTGAGTATCTATTCTTAACCAAACAAAATAAACAATTATATTTTCTATAACACAATGTACAGTGTGGGGAGAGAAGGCACACAAGTTTTTTTATATATATCGGAGAGTGCGTTAACACTCTATGGGGGAATGCAATGAAAAAAAATGGCTGACACTATTGCAATAATACATAAACTCAGATGAAGTTCATACTACAACAGCCACCATAATGCTGATATTAGAAGCTGTTTCTTGAGTTATACTCACTTCCTACTTTGATCCATGACTTTACAAATTCATCCCATAAAATACTTCTGTGACTAATGACCGTCAATTAATTGATTACATGAAACAGTGTGGAAGGACATTGAGAGGAGGGTGACAGAAATCATCCTTACTGCCACTACTTTGGCTGCTACCTCTTTGTACAAAGTCATCCTGACATCACACAGTGTATACCATATTTTAAGTACTTACATAATGTGTTCTTAAAGCTTATACAAAACTTTTCGTGAGGTAATAATGAATACTTTAATAATATGTTATAAATAAATAGTGTGACAGTTAGGATTTTTCCATTATTTATCGTAGTGTCCACCCTCACATTTTCTTAAGTTCATAACCCAGACAAAGGATGGATACCTCAGCTTGTATGTTTATAAATACTTACTAAAATTCTATTGGATTTACATCTTTAGAGCACTGTTTTGATGATTTCAATGACTCATTCACTACCATTTTTGTGTGTCACTTGGTATGTTGAATGCAGCATTGGTTCAAATTTTGTTTGCAATTTCCAAATACAAAGTCTGTAGTTTTGTACTAATTAGGAACTTAAATTACTGGTACTGACAAGCTAAAATATAACATAAGAACATCCTATTATTTCTATTTGCTAAAAACACACACATAGTGGCCCCACCTACCTCTTTACATTTTTGGAAACACTCCCTTATGTACAAGTACTTCTGTCTCTGACATGAGAATAACCAAGCGAAAGCTTAGAATGTTCCCCTGATGGTTTTCTTAGCCATTTTGAAGTATTATGATGTCAACTTGTTCTTTGGATCCAAGATTTCAAGATGGTAAGTTGAGTCTTTAGTCTGCTCAAAATTTCATATCTTTTTAGACCCAAATACAGCTTAGTTACTAAGCTTGATAAATTATAGTGGTAATTCTATGGTATTGATATAGTAATTTATGACTTTTTTGGTTATTTGAAATGTATATATAAAAACCTAAAAGTAATTATTTCGTTTCACATCCTCCATGTGCGATATTTTATAAGGCTTAGCAATCTATGGCACGCAGCAAATGAGTTCACAGTTCATAACTGGAAGAGATAATTATTTTCTTTAATTCTTTATTTACTGTTCTATGTTTTAAGAAAACTAACTTTAAGAACTTATTTGTAAATAGTAATAATGTATATACATATATAATGTATTATAACTGAAATGTGGCTGTATTTTATAAAATACTAGTCCACTAAAACACAGCCAAGTTTTAAAAAAAATAACTTTAAGAACTTATTCGTAAATAGTAATAATGTATTATAACTGAAATGTGGCTGTATTTTATAAAATACTAGTCCACTAAAACACAGCCAAGATAGGTCACTTTGTAAAGGTCAGTCTTATACTCTTGGATACGGTAACATCAGTGCACATGTGCTGCATCATTGCAACTTATAATGTTATGAAATTTAAGCTATTTAGACTAAACGTTTTTGTTTTCATTTTATAATATGTAGACATTCTAGAATGAAAGAAGCATAACTTTTACATACATTTCCCAAATTTTTTATTGAGGTTATAAAGTTGGTCAAATCAAACTAACCCATACAGAGATACCGGAGTGAAAATAACAGATAAAATATAGTTTTTTTCTATAAAAAAATTTGATAATTATCTGGAGGTTATAGATTTTGCATATGAAATTTGAAAATTTTTTAATGCATAAAAGTATTTTAATCTTAAAATCCAAATTACTTTGCATGTTGGATAGTCAACATTCTGAAAGAATAAAATTACGAGAACATTTTTAATTAGAAAATCCTAATACTTGATTTTAAAAACCTGATATCTTGTGTAGGAAACCTTTGTAACACTTACCAATTAGTATAACATTAAATCTTAGCTAATAATCCATATTTTAATAGTATGTAAGTTTTAAGTTCTTAATTCTATAAGACAACATTTAAATAAATCCTGAATTTCCACTAGTGTGACACACTTGACACATTTTCTCTAGGTATTTTCTCTTCTCTATTTTATCCATCATCTCTCCAAAAAGCACAAAATTCAGCATAAATTACTCACTATAAAATCATCATTGCTCAAACAAACCATAATTTTATAGCCTTCAATTTTGTTTGGTTACAGAGCTATCAAATAGAAATTCAGACCACTCCTTCCAAACATACACCTGTCACATCCTCTCTTTCAGGACTTGTTAATAGTTCTCTCTTTTATTTAATTATGTATTAACTATACCAATAGAAAGTGAAGGTTTTCATCTTTCAAATAACGTATAATGTTTTGTTCTGAACAGATAACTGTCAATTTCACTTATAATGCACAGTTCATTCCCATGAGAAAGTGACTAGCTTGGATGAATTTGTAACAGTTCTTGTTGCATAGTTAGAAAGCCAGAAAAATCTTGAGAGTTAGAGGAAATTGTCTACTTTTTGCATGGTATTAGTTTATGTTCTTAGTGCATTATTTAATTAAATAAAAATTATTTAGTGCATTTCTACCATCAGTATAAAAAATGTAGGATTAAGGGTCATCGACAATCGACAGCAAGAAAAAATAAAAAGATTAGGTAAGTACTTTTTCTTGTTTTTCATGTTTATTCTTTATTTATTATTATAAAAGTAACTTAAACTGTAAAAATAAGGATCTCTTTAGGTGCGTCAAGGTAAGATTAGGTAAAATGAACAATAATAATATTTCACAAGGCATGCACATGAGCAGCTCAGAGTAGCTCTTGAGTAATGTAATTTGATTCCGTAACGTGAGCTGCACATTCCCCAAGTAATTTACAACTTATAATGGTGGGAATAGTAGTTAGACATGGTTCAATTGGCAATAAAATATAATTATAAATAGATGTATGCTGTTACAAGTTGAAAGCTACTTAGGATAAACGAAAGTAGCTTCATGCTACATTTGAAGTCATTCTAGAAAGAAAAAAAAGGTAATTTCGATTTTTTTGTTTTTGTTACGAGGTCAGTCAAGTTGACCAACCTTGTATAGAGTTAGGGTAGAGGAAATTAAAGATAAAATATAAAGTTTTACTGAAATCAAACATTTGAAATGTATTTAGGAGGTTGTAGAGATTACACAAATGAAATTTAAGATTTTTGAGTTTAAGAAAAGTATTTTTAATCTTTAGATGAAAATCACTTTGCACATCGAGTATTCAAAACAAATACTCAATATATTTGAGGGCAAATCTATTTTTAGTTTATTAAAAATACTTCACTAAAAAATAAAATTTTTTTGTATGTAAAAGATTAATAATGTTTACTATAGACTGCCAAATTTCATGAAGATGTATACACTATATTAGAAGTTAGTAGTATCAAGTCTATAAGGACTTTGAACGAGTACAAAGAGGTCATGTGGTCAGTCAAATTGACCGAGCTCATGTTGAGAGACTTAAAACTGTTGGGCTTGTATGTCGCATTGATCCACAAAACTTATGAATCCATGTTTTACCATTTTGGATGGGAAAAGAGGGGTTAATTTTCAAGTTGATGTATAATATTTTAAAGGCAAAGTTCCCTATATATTCAGATTTTTTAAAGTGAAAGTTGATATTGAGCAAAATTCAACATTCTGCTTTCCTCAACTAAGCTCTTCAATTTAATGTTGTAAACATTAGCCTTTTCTTCATTCAGTAAATGTCAGCTTAATCGAAGAAATTGCAACTGTAAGACTTTCCGTGTGTATTTTTCAGAGGGATCCAGAGTAGATTTGGTCCACCAAGCCACCGTCCGCGTTTGTTACTTGCTGGTGAAAAAGATCAAGGTCAGACCACTCATTTAGGACCTGCCATACTTCACTGCCTCGAACATTTGCCTGTCCATAAACTTGACCTTCCAACCTTACATGCTGTGTCTTCAAGATCACCAGAAGAAGCCTGCACAGAGGTATGCTAGTTTTGTTGAGCTGTTTTCCAGAAAAAGTTAAACTTGAAGTTCTACTACATTAGTTCAGTGTAGTTTTGTTTTTTATCTTCAAACATAAAGTTTTGCATTGGTTACTTATAGACATGCGATGGGTGAGAATCTTTTTGTGACATATGTATAAAATTGTGAAATATGAAACATAACTATTTTTGTATGCATTCCCACAGGGTGAGACAAGTCATTGTTATTAAAACAACAGGAAATATGCCAGCAATTATCAGACAGAAAGTTAAGATATTTATCCATCTTGCCATGGGCATCCTTTACTGCACATGTCATGAGGTTCTTCCGAGTTACATTTAAAAAATTTAATTAAATTACTTTCTTATAGTGAGAGAGCTAAAGCACAGTGATCCAGAACTGGTTTGGTCACATTATTTCCCCACAAGAAGCCAGTCTGGTCTCTTTAGTTTAAAGTCTGTTATCTTGGTTGAGAAATGTGAAAAAGTTTACAGGTACAACAGTATCTTTATATGCCCTGATAATAGCCTCCTGTAATCAAACAGCTCACTTTTTTAAAAACTATCAAAAATCAACAGGGAAAGTGCGTGATAGGTGCAAAATGGTCGAAAAAAGGTGAGAGCAGTTTTCAGAATTTAAACATCCTTTCTGATCATGGAGAAATAGGCAAAAATGATTGGCTTACTCCTGATTTCCCAGAAAATCAAGGGAAAGATTCGGAATGCTTTGATTATAGCAAATGTTAGAGTTAGTTTAGTTCCAATGATGTTATTAATCAATTTCAATGCATAATTAGTGAGAATAAACATGTTTCTAGTTTTCTTCTAGTACATCTTCAATCTCAATGTCCAAATCTTGTAATAAAACACTCTCTTCGGCACACATTTCCATAAGAACATCTTCCTTTGCCCATTCCTTCTCTTTTTTTTTACTGTCTTTTGGGGCATGGCAATGTTTTGCTATACACATAGTTGGAGGATCACAATGTAAACACATTTCACAGCTTATCCAATTTTTTATGTATTTTTCTGTGCCAAAAATTATTCTGAAATTTTAATTTTTTTAAGCCAAAAAAACTAATTTTGGGTGGTTTTCTGACTAACCGGGATCTTTATTATTTTACCCTTTTTTTTCAGCTTAAAATATTAGAAATTGAAAAAAACAATTTGTATTCAGCTTCTGCAGAAAAAGTGTGTATACTTTTTAATGTCTGTAATTTAGTTCTTCCATGAAGCCCAACGAACACTGCCAAGTGTGTTGTATCTTCCACATATGGACCAGTGGTGGAGCACATCTAGTGATATTTTAAGGGCAACATTCACAACTTTGCTTTCAGATATTGATCCTAGTATTCCTCTTTTCCTGCTAACAACCAGCGACTGCCCACTAAAGGATCTTCCAGTTGAGGTTAGATTATGTCTATTGACTTTGTAATGTTTTGTCCATCCCAAAATTTCATATTGTTCTCGATTCTGATGTATATTTATGATATTTTAAGTATTTTGAGAAAAGGTTTATCCTCTGTCATTTCATGATGTTTTCCTCGGCTGACCAAGCTTTCTTTCTCATATAAAATCATTAAAAAATATTTTAAGTTTGCGTTATCTAAGAAATTTTGGCTCTATATAGTTTAGGTCTTTATTTGTGAGCTATGTTCACTGCATTATTAAATTATAAAGAAATCAAAACCATGTTGACATCTGAAGTTAAAATAACATTGAATGTGTTTTTCCCTTTTAAGTATTAAGTAATGAAATTTGATTATAGTTAACACTAATTTTTAACTATAAATAATATTTTTCATATAGGAAATTGAGGGTGGAAAATTGATACCATAATGAGAAATGTGTGTGTGTGTGTATCTGGTATTTTAATTATATATTTTATAATGAATTTGAAGTCTTATTTTTGATACCATCAACTATTGAGTAGAAAATCTTTATTTAATATAGGAAAGGATAAAGTACAATTTGCTTTGGTGAAATTTTGAATTTAATTTTCCCTAATAAATAATGTTAACTGTAACCCAAACCATGAATCTGTTGTATGTAATCTGATTTTAATTCATACCTGAAGGGATTTAGAAGACAAGACCTGTTTGTAAAGTTCTTTTTAATATGGAAATTGCAGGCAGGTCTAGTATCTGCAATAATTTTTTGAAAACACTTGTAAAGGAATTTGAACTTATTAAACAATGTAAGAATAAATGTTTATATCAAAAACACATATAGCCTCTTACTGAAAATAATTATTCTTGCCAACTTAGGCTTAGCTGTTCAAAGAAGTAAAATGATCTAGAACTTAATTTTTTCTACAGACCTAACATATTACGCTTAGCATTGTGTTAAAAAATACATTGCACATGACAAGAAATCTTCAAACATTTAATAGAATTCACTAGTCTTGACACAAAGAGTAATAAATGAAACTAGTGATATGGTATGATAATATTCATGTTTTGGTTCTGGATGATTCTGCTCATATGTAAGGCCAATTATGTTAAGTGTTATTTACATGCTTTCATGATGATAGATTTTTTTTTTCTGATAATTTAGGCATCTTTAATTGTATTTGCACTAAGTTGGTCCATTTTATTGACCTCATATTCAAAATATTCACTATAATTTCAAATTTACTATATGTATATGATATATATATATATATATATATATATGAAATGTGGCAAGCCTTTAGTAAAATGCACATGTCTGTGAATTATGTGTCAGACTCAAAAATTGGACTGCAAGGTGATGTTGATATGAAGAACCAAAAATACTTTTGTCTCCCTCATGTTGTTTGAATATGGAATATGAATAACCTTTAGATCTTCAAATTACATATTAGTATTCCTGTATTTGTATCTGGTATTTACTCCCTTACCACAAACTCTTGCTAAATCAGCAGTGTATAATAAAATTAATAGTTGCATTAAGTAATTTATTTGGATTATCACCCTGTTTTTTTAGTTTTTTTAATGCACAAGATTTCAGATTAATTACTTAAACCTCTTATAGGTGTGAGACATTTAATAAACAACAGGATCCAACCCTGTGCATTAAAAGAATTAAAATATGGGGTGATAGTTTAAATACATTAGTTAATACAAATATGAGTACTTGTGTTAAAAGCCTGAAAAGTTGCTTAAAATTAATAGTTAATAACTCTGATATCAAATACATAATACCATGTTAAATGCTACTGTGTAAAAAGTCATGACATTGGGCACTTTGACCCCCACCTGTACACATTGGGTTGAATACTAAAAACTGAATCTGTATGTAATTTTTTCAACTCTCGCAGAAATATTTAACTTTGCTGGCAAAGCTCTTCTTTGAGAAGAACAATGACAGGATTTTGCTATACGGAATATTACTAATGCTTCTATGTTATAATGATGGATGTTAAAGAATAGGAATTTAGTTGACATAAGATATAATGAATAGAAAAAAAAACAAAGTTTTGGTTAAGAGAAGGACTGTTTAATTACTTGTTTCATCACTAGGTTTCTATAATTGACTTAGTTTGATAAATAAATATTTAGAATTGTTTTAATTAGGGTTTAATTTAGAAGTTAAGCTTGGAAAAAGAACAAAAAATCAACCTGTTTAACTTGACTGGTACTATCTTCTAGTTTATACAACTGGAAATGGCTTGAAACTATTAACTCAAACACTATTGTTTTATTCAGTTATTATGAAAGCTATAAACACTGCAGTTGCATTCATTTGCTTGTGGTTTAGTAATTGAACATTTTTAGTTTGGAAAATCTTTATCTTCTGTATACAGTTGTTTTATATTTTATAATGTAAAACCATAACAGCTGACAGTGATTTACTCTTTTTCCAGTTTTCAGTTAGGTTTTTTTTTTTCCGTGTTATTAATATCGTCACTAACTTTACCCTCCATTTTAATATTCAAATTTGAAAATGTCGCGTGTGGTTCAAAGTAAGAGCTCATCCATTTGTCACTAGATGCATTATAAAGCAAGAATTCTTAAGTTACTGCTGTATTTTGATGGTTGTATTTAATGGATTAAAATTTCCTATTACTTTTAACGTATCAGATGCGGTTGATTTCTCCAATGTGAGAGAGATGTGAGAAAGTAATTTTAATATTTTAAATAGGATTTTCATATTAAATTTTAAAAACAAATTGCATTCTAGTGCTTTAAACAAGTTCTTAGTTTATTTCAGTCACATGGCATTATACTGTAAAATCAAAATCAGGTGTAAAATCAATAAAACTTTTGTTTTTTTTACTTTTAACACCTAGTCTACGAGTGAATAAGACTGAATTTGAGGGATTGGGTGGGTTACTGGGTCATGGTTTCTGATATTCAAGTTAGAACTAAAAATAAATCTACTTAAATAAAGGTCTCGAACTGTTACCCTCAAACAAACCACAGTTTGTTACCAAAATTGTAGAGAAAGTGGATTTATAGAACTGAAGAGCCAGATCTTATATTGCCCAATGTGTGTTCACTGTAGTGTTTTTTGTGGGATTTTGGATTGGGGTTTCACTCCTTCATAGCTGGAAACTAGGGCAAATTTAGTCATGCTGGTGGGCAATTCAAGATTTCAGTTATATTGAGGTGTTTCAAATGTATTCAAAAAAAAAGAGTACTGGAAAGCTTTGTGTAGGAATTGTCTGACCAGACATGTCTTGATTTACAGACTGGGTGTTAAAAAAAAGGTGTTTCTGACTATAAAACTTTGCACAATTTGTGGCACAAACAGATTATTATTGGCTTGAAAATATTTACTTTAATATGGCAAATTAGCAGGTTTGAATCATTATTTAAAACAAGGTAAAACTTATTTGATACTAGATGTTACTTTTGTTATAAAACTGCATAATATTATTGTACAGGTGTGTAGACTTTGTGAAAAATACTTAATTTTGTGATAAATTACTTTTTAAGATGATTAGCTCTCAAAATAAACTATGAATTTTTGGATTGGAATTGAGTACCAGAAATTAATTTTATAAACATGGTTATTTGTTGACCTAAAAATCCCTGAATTAGCTATTGCTTTATTTCAAACTTTCAAATTTTGTTGTATGCTTCTACACTAATGCAGAGTTTTGGGTTTTAACTTTTTAGGTAATGCTCTAAGTATGAATTTCCAAATATTAATTAATTTTTTTATACCTGAACTGTGTATAGAGAATTAGGATGTTCTGTGTCTGTGTTCATTGTGATTAAGTACTTTGAATGAAGACTGGACTTGTACCTCAATTTAATTCACTGGCTTCTTGAAAATTGAATTCAGTGTTATACATTTGTATAGCTTTTAATTCCTCTTATTATTCATAAAATGTATGGTTTGTATTTTATGCATGTTTAATGTACAATATCAATATAATATGGTTTTTAATTAGGAAGTTTTATTTTAATTTACATGTAGGTACAGCATCTTTTCAATGTCGGTCAAGGTGAAGTGTTACAGATGGAAAATCCAAATAGGTCAGAAAGATATGAATATTTCTCTAAACCTTTATTAAGAGATGCAAAGAAGGCTCCCAAGAAGAAGAAAACCAAAAGTAGGATTCTTTGTCAATATTTTTCATAACATTATTTGAAGTGTCATCATCTTACTGTTATTGAAGGCATAGCAGTTGAGAAAAATAAATCTGTCTGGTTCATAGTTTTCCATTTTTTCTGATAATGCAGGTTGCATAGTTATGATGGGTAGTTTTTGTGCATGATTATTTTATATTGAATTATGAAAATTGAAGTATGATTGACTAGTTTTAGCTTATTTCTAGATTATTTTTAAATTAACCACTGGTTACTAATTTATGATTCTAAGTCTTGTAAAATCAACTCTTTCTGTCAATGTTAAGATCGTTCCTATGTATTACTTGGGCCAGATATGGCCTAGTTGTTAGTGTTCTGTGAATCCAAGAGCACATGTTTCACAGCTTGTTCCTGCAAAATCTTGATCCACACTTTGGGACTATAGGTGTGTTATGAGAGTGAAGGTCAAGTCGTGCTATTTGAATAAAGTAGCCCAAGATTTTATGGTGGGTGCTGTTGACTAATTAGCTAATCAGTTCAGAATCAAGGTGTCAAACAAACCTTAATGTAACTGGTTTTCTCAATTACTTTCTGTAACAGTAATTATACAGCTGTTCCAGTGTATTAAATATTTTTAGCATTCCAATATTTACTGTCGTAATGTTTTTTCCTTTATCTGTGAACAAATTGGGTAAATTTTGAAAACTGTGGGGTTTATTAACTTGGTACTTGCTGTCATACATTGCTGTAACAAGTAATTTCATAGCATTATTTATTTTTAATTTTTTTTTTAATTGCGATGTATTTGTCATACAATGAAGAAATACAACAAATCTATAGAAATATAAGAGTACTGTTTGTTGTCTGTTCATTAACTATTTTGCAAAGTGTGGCTGGATCTTCACCAGCTTTGGCATGAACATTCATTGGGTCCATAGGGAGATACAAATTTTCATTTTTGCATTTTGCACCACTACTTTGTCCCCTGTTGATGGATCTTCACCAACTTTGGCATGATGGTTTGTTGGGTCCATGGGGAGATGCATACCAGTTTTCAGTTTTGTGGTTTTTATTGGTATTTTTGAATATTTTTTACCACTACTTCACCCACTGTTGAAGATACATGCAAATTTATAGTTTCATATTTTTGTTTTTCAGTTTTTATGGATTTTTTTTTCGTTTTTACAATTACATATAAGGGAAGCAACTTTTAATGTTCTAAGATAACCTTTCATTAATCATGAATGTACATAACTTCCATCCAGGGGATGGGTACTCCAGCTAGTATTAACTAATTTTGTAATTTAAGATAAAGGTATGTTCTGAACAGTGAATTTTACAGCCTGCTCAACTGGAACTAGTAGAAATAATGATTCAATGTAAACAAGAAACTATGATATAATGAGTACCAAATTTTAATTTCTAAAATTTTTATGTCAGAAGTCTTCATGCAAAATGATGCACTTATTAATCCTTTTACAACAGCACCCTTCACTGCGCCTCTTTATAAGCATTCCTATTGAATAATTTATGTTTTATTCTTGTAAAACTCCCGATGTTGGTGCAGAAACTAGATTATTATCTATCAGTGAAACATGATTTATGCACACATTTGTTTTTCCTCATAGTGAGAATTTATCTTTAGAAGTACAATTTACTGTCTGTGTGTTTGTGCAGGTTTTTTCTTTTCATTGCTTTGATACTAATGGTTTGTAAAATCACTCACATTTAACAAAAATAATGTTAATTATAATCCTAAACATTTTAAAGATATGGAAAAAACCCTTCCTGTGGTACCACCTCCTGAACCAAGAAAACTTACAGATGTTGAACTCCAGAAACTTGTTGAACAAGAGGAAGCAACCCTTCGAGAACTAAGACTGTTTTTGCGAGACATTTTGAATAAACTAGCCAGAGATAGAAGATTTGCCATGTTTACTAAACCGGTTGATCCAGAAGAAGTAAGATTATTCTTTTTGAATTATAAATACCATCCTTTGATTTGTAAACTTATATTTAGCTAAGAAGTGTAATCTCTATGATTTTTATATGTATTCTGCATTGATCTCAGTCTTCAGTATAGTTGACTATTCTTTGTTCGCCTGAAGATGAATAGTCAACTATTCGAAAGCACTTGAGTTTTGGGTCTTATTTTAGGTTTATTACACTTTATATGTGATTCCTTCTAACTCTTTTGTCAAGAGAGTCTTCAGTATATTCAGTACAAGTATATATATATATTGAAAAAGAAACACATAGGATATCTGTCAACTCTTTTAAGTTTAATTACAACTATATGCATATATATAGTTAGAATGACATCCAACACTGCCCTCACATGTTTGGGAGGAAAAAAAAGGAGCAGATGTGGGTGCTCAAGTCACATTTTGACCACTTTTCACTGTCTGCAGCCTGAAGTGGGAAGGTTGTTGCTTACTGTTGCACTTAGATAAAAAAAAAAAAGTTTTAGTAAGAAAACAAAAGAGTATTATACGTTAA